CAACTCCCAGAATTCCCCAGCCAGCATTCGCTGGCTGGGGAATTCTGGGAGTTGAAGTCCAGACATTTTCAAGTTGCCAAGGTTGAGAAACACTGGTTAAGAGGGCAGTAACTGCGGGCTACTTCTGTTGACTTTCGTTCGCCTGCAATTTGGCAGTTCGAATCTCACCAGGCTCAAGGTTGACTCAGCCATCGATCCTTCCGTGGTGGATAAAATGAGGGGCCAGATTGTTGGGGGCAAGAGGCTGACTCTGTAAACCGCTTAGAGGGAGCTGTAAAGCGCTGTGAATAAGTTTAAGTCCTATTGCTTTTCTCCTTCCTTTTATTTCTTTCTCTCCCTCCCTTTTGTCCTTCCTTCCTTCCTCGCTTGCAATGGTGGTGCAATGGTTAGAATATTGCAGGCTGACTCTGCCCACTGTCAGCAGTTCGATCCTGACCGGCTCAAGGTCAGCTCAGCCTTCCATCCTTCCCGGTAAAATGAGGACCCAGATGGTTGGGGGGGGCAAGAGGCTGACTCTATAAACTGCTTAGAGAGGGCTATTAAGCCCGGTGAAGCAGTATATAAGTCTTAAGTGCTATTGCTATTAACTGTAGTTCATGATTAGAAGCAGCTTGGACAGTCTGCAATGAACTGATTTTTAAATCCAGGGCTTGAGACCCCATCCCGTACAAAATGCTTACAGACCTTGTAAGGAGAAAAACATTCAGCAGAGAAATTAGGGTCGCGAGCTGATACCATCCAGTGCCGAGCCACCAGAAGGCCCCTGTGGCCGCTTTCCCTAAATGAGAGGAGAAAGCCGAGATGAGTGAGAAATGTCAAGGATCCTTCAGCGCAGTTGTTTTCAAAGGGGTTTTTTTTGGATCAGGAGGGAAACTTTTCTGGATCAACCCCAACGCTGCCCAGGGGGAGCCATTAGGCACTGCAGCAAAATCCGGGCACCGATGCATCCATAAACGGCTACGAAGAGGGGGAAATGGTAAGGCAGGTGTGAGTGAAGGCATCGCCATGGAAACGCTGCCTTGATGTTCTTGGGTTCTAAAATTGGACTCAGGTATGTTAAGTCGTGGGCTTTGCATTGTGATGTCATGACTGTTTCATCATTCCTTTGGCTTGAGGATTTTAGTAATTTATTTCCTGCCTTTATTAATTGTATAAATAATTCAAGGTGGTGTGTGTATATATATATATGTGTGTGTGTGTGTGTGTATGTGTATATATATATACACACCATACATATATATATATATATATGTA